AAAAAGAAAAAGAAAAAGAAAAAGAAAAAGAAAAAGAAAAAGAAAAAAGAAAAAGACTGTTATTGCGTAAAGAAAATCCTTAGCACGTTTCATTATCCATTAAAACACGAGATAATAAAAACGTAATCTACTTCTTTACATCCATTGAGTAATATAAAAATGATTAAAAAAACCGTTTTATAAAATAACATGTTACAAAAATATTGGTATTCTTAATTTGAAGTCTTCTTACATAAGTTAGTAGCAATTTTTGGTGTTGCATTTTATACAGTATACTTTCCTAAGCTCTATTCTTTACTCAGCCATAGTTTTAATGATAATTAAAGTACACAAAGAAATACAATAATAAATGAAAAACCTTTGGTCGGTTTTAAATTCAATTACATAGTTTTGCTACGTACTGTTTTTCGGAATTCCCTGCGTCATTCTATAATTGTTTATGCGTATTATAATGATGAAAAATATTTTCACGATTGCAAACATCAAAGGAAAATTAAACTGCGTACTATTTGTGTTGAATAATTTTCAATTAAAAAATATGACGCAATATTTGAGTTACCTCCAAATTGCTTGTGAATTTTATTATTGCCACCATTGACTTACAATGCCACAATATTTTATTATTGTTATTAATTCCTTGTATCGCAGGTTATCGAAGGAGGCCTCTCACGTAACATCGATAACCTGATCAGTTTACTTCCCACCTATCACCCCTATCCCGTAATATGATTTGCAAAAATAATGAAATCGCCATTTTCATAAACAGCTCTATTGCAATTTTAGTTTAAAAAATGTATTTGGCTAATACATCAATGAAACAATCATAATCATGCCCTTCAATAAGTGTTATAGATTAGTAGGTAAAGAAGTTTGTATGTTCACAAATTTACTTACTTATGGGTCTGCATAATATGATCTACATACTAGCTGTTAAGCTAACAACAACAACAACTATTCACACACTCATAGCCCCGCACTAGGGAAACTCTATCGCGGTTGCCATGGACACACAAATAGGTAGACAACCACAAATTACATCCAAACCACGAGGTAAATAAATACAGGCCATACAAATATTTCTCCCGGTCCGTGAATCGAACCCAGGCTAACTATCATTGATATACTTAGTACGTTATTTTTCATCAACCCATTAATATGTCCCACTGCTGAGCACGGGTCTCCTTTCAAGCGATGGTTCGGACCATAGTCCGCCACGCCACTGGCCTAATGCGGGTTGGGGATATCACACGTTTTTGAAGGTTTGTGAACGTTTTTTGACGTGCAGGTATCATTACGATGTTTTCCTTCACCGAAAAGCTCATGGCAAATTTTAAGTTAAGTTTTATACATAAATAATACCGAGAAACTCAAAGGCGCGAGTCCGGATTTGAACCTTACTATATTACCCAAAATTGTGAAAAACCATTACCTTAGGCGACATACCTACAACTCCAAATAAAACAATTTAACCTTAATAGATTGTATTGGGAATCTATCAATAATAGTTACCGAATGTATCGTCAACGGCTCGACTGCTTTGATACATTGCACAAAAACAAGCTAGTTGATTAGGGAATATCATGTGCAACTTGTGCAAAATAACATTATCAGATCGATATTTAATGTTAAACACGTATTTAATATGCATTTTGTCTTGACGTCATTTCGTATTATTGTTCTGGCAGCAAAGGCAGATAGCAGAGAGGGAGTTTTTGTTTATGTAATTTTTTTTATGATTTTTTATGGGGTCACTGTGTCGATCACCCAGAGGCGTAAGTTGAAAAGTCCTATGTGATTAATTTCACCAGCACCTTTACCCTTCAAAACCGAAACGTAGTAATACTCATATTAGGCGGTACTACTTCTCTGGACGAACTCTTCCTTATGAAAGGTATTAGGTACTTTTTATAGCAGTAGAGTCCCTTGTGGAACTGCTACTGCTACTAAAAATACCTACTGAAATACATATTACTCAAAAATACATTATGCACTGCTTTCAGTTCGCCTTGTGCAATCCACCGACAACACCTTGAATCGAAGCATAAATTTAGTACATTTTTAAAATTTATAGGATGACGTGGATACAAGGCCCTTATAACAAAAACATTATAACAAAAAAGAAACAGCCATAACAAACAAGTGGCAAAATTCTTAGATGAAACTTTATACCTTTATCTAACATTTAAGATAGATATCGTGTCGACTTTCTTCTTTCGATTAAAATTCTGACAGTAAGCTCTGAAAAGAGTTATTTTTACATTTACCGAGCACCTAGGAAACCTCTAAGTCAACATGTAACCGCGTACCGACTACGCCCAGCGCTCCCTCTTAACATCGTTCTCATCTCCAAGATTTTCTCTAATAATGTGTCCTAGGTACTTAAACCGAGAGACACGATTCATGGGTACACCATTTAGAAGAAGCGGTTGATTAATATTTAGGTCTTTATATTTAAAAACAAGAAACTCGCTCTTCTTTTCATTGTACCTCAATCCATGCCTCACGGCATAAGTTTCACACACATTCAGCATTCTTCTCAGACCACTGATCGATGGGCTCATCAATAATAATAGACACAAATATTTATTTATTATTTAATTTCATAAAGTTGTTACTCATAATATTGTTTCAATTATATAAAGATTGAGAAAGGTTTTAGTATAAATAAAGGCTTTAATTGTAGTAAACAAATGTGACGTAGGTTTGTGAATTGAATTTCCAAGTATAAGTAATTTCAATGTATAGGGTCAAGTAAGGTAAGGGGAAGGGAGGAAAAGGAACTTATACCTTAACTCATAATCTATAGAGTTTAACACTTTCAGTTGATAAAACAGACAAACAAATTAGTTTAAACGATTTCAAAAAGATGTCGTTATGATGCTTCAAATCCAAAAGACGAAAAACAATTTCTACAGTTGTAATTCTTGATAACACGAGGTAATACTCGTATATACTACCTTTGTAGGAAATACGATGTATATCCTCTTATCCTATCTTTTGTGGGAAGAGAAACAACACAATTTTCACGTTTTCGGTAAATACATCAAACATAAGTAATGAACTTAGCGTAAAGATTTTTTAAGCATCTTCAGCTGATAAAAAAATTCAAGTTTAGTGTACCTACTCGTACTTCGAAATTATTATAAGACTTTATATTTTCTTCCTAGAGCTCAAAACATTTGACTCAAACTAAAGTATGTTCTTTTTACCCCACCTGACTATAACTCATTTCATGTCAATTAGATTTCTTAAATTTGTATTTGGTAATATCTTTTCCTATGGCACTACTCTCATAATAGTAACAAGAATAATTTGATTACCTACTTGCGAGACGGAACTAGCCACGTACATTCTTTGTAAACGATTTACGTCGCAATTGGATTGTGTTTCTTGGTTTTTATATAAATATATATTTTTTTAATTTAAATTTCTGTATAATTATTGCGCACTTTAACAATTTGAAAACGTAACGCTTTCCGAAAACTAAATTTTCAAAGCTATTTAATCTTGTTGGTAAAAAACGTAAACCGAAACTTCGAAGTTTCGTAGTAACTTTTGAGTGCAAAATATTTAATATTTTTCGTGATATATCCATACCGACAGCTGGACCGTCTCCAGCTACTTGGAATGGACCTGTCGTCCAATATGAACTTCGGCAGAT